CAAGTACGGGATTTCATCTAGAAAGGGACCCCCCACATTGCAGTAGGTTTACTCAAATCCTGAGTGCAGTTGCCAATCCAAACATGTTAAAGTCCAGTCCCCCTCCCCCCCCCCAATGGCCAGGAGTGTTTTTCGCCAAGCATCAAGGGGGGGAGGGGCATGGCTGTTGGGGGATTCCTTGGCGGTGTGCGAGTTCTGGAAATTCGCCCGGACATTTGGGTGTGGGTCAAAATTAAACCACCAGGGGAAAGGATATGTCCTTGGTTCCATTTACCAGGGCAAGCCATTTCGGGTACTCATTTTTGACCCACGGCCATTTCCTTTAAGGACCACAATGCGCGGGGTTAGCCTTTGTGAAGCCCTTTTTGGGTTCTGTGACTGAGCTGAGGCCAACCCGCCCGGAAGGACATCCCCCCACCAATGTCACATTCGCCAAATTCAAGGGGCCCCATCTCATGCTGAAATTTGAGGGAGATCTGATTGGGTCAAGCATGTCCCCCAGTTTCTTTGTTTTTTTTTTGCGCGTCCGCTTGCGGTGGGTCAAGCAACAGCCCCAAAACGAGTGGCTAAGCTACATGGTTCCACCATGGCGCGCTTCAAGTTTTCCTGCCGCGTGTTCCAGCGATTCCATTTGTAGGAAATGTGGGGAATCGCCCTGTTCAAGACTACAACGTGCATGGCAAAGGGTTACCTGCTATAGGGTCTTGCTGGATCCACTCGGCGGGGAACATAGCCTGATATCTAACCTCCAGCATGGGCGGTTTTGTTTTGGCGTTCGTCTAGCAATGACCGGCTTTTGTCTGAACACCTGGTTTTGCAAATGGGTTTGATGTGCACACGTGTGTTGTGTTTTGTGAGGGGAAACACAAGGGAGCAAACGTATGGTTGATGTCACCTGTTTTGCCACACATATTTCCATCCAGCGGCTTTTTTGGGGCCTTTGGGGTGCACCTAAACTGTACCAAACTTTGGGGGTACCAACCATTTGAGGTTGGTCTCACCCAGAACCACCAGCGTTTTCGGTAGTCCCGCTAAGGTGTTGCTTCAACAAGGGGGTTCCCTTGTTGTGGCTGATTGAATACTTTCCAGAAAAAAAAGGGGGCCACAAAAAACGAACTCGGAGAGCAGAACAGCATGGAGACCCCTTCCAAATGGCGGGAGGGTTCTCGGAATGAAATTCCCACATCTGATTTTTTGAGACTATCGGTAGGGTGGCTTCGCTCAGGTCTACTTGAACAACTGCAAGTTTTCTACATCCTTTGGAATTGGGAGGCCCCCCCCCGTCCTGCCCTCAAAAAGGGGGCGGTGTCTCTGAAAGGCATTCCCTGTTTAGCAGCTGGTTGACTGCCTACCAAATTGGGAACACCGGAAAACACAAGGAAGCGTGCGAGTTTGAGACCAATCCTTGGCTTCTTTCCGCATTTTCAGCGAGGTCTACTTCAACAACTGCAAGTTCGGCATGCACGGGCCGTTGGAGGTTTTCTCTCAGAAGGCGGTGCTCACTTTGCAAGGCCTTTTCGGCACCTGCCGCCCGGCAACCAGCGTGGGTAAAAAGGCGACCAGATTGGCGTGGCGCGGCGCCCCTCCCCTTACCTTTCGGCGGTTTTGACTTCTGGTTTTGCAAGCGTGGGACACACCTTGGTTCCTTACACGGAAATGGGTGCGAGTTTGCTTCGGTTGCTCAAAACCAAATTCCAACGTTTCCTGCATCAAATCATGGAACATGGACATGTGTCCCCCTATGATAGCTAGGTATCGGATGGCTGACAAACCCTCCAACATTGTACCTAAATTTGGCGGCGCGTTGCTATTTTTGGTCTTTATTGGCAAACATGTTTTGTTTTTTCCCCCAGGGAACATTGTCACACGGAGAAGGCTGGGAGACTATGAGCAACACTCCCTTGCTGCACAAGGTTAAGCCTTTCCTGGCTTCCGAGCTGATGGCAACAGAGGAAGTTGTAATCTCAAGATACACAAGAGTAGGCGCACACAACCCACATTTTAAACCCACATGTTTGATTTTGCTGTTTGTTTGCTCGTTTGTTTCCCTGTTTGTTTGTGTGCCTGTCTTTCTGTCTGCCTGTGTTGTTTGTTTGTCTGTTTGTTTGCTTGCTTGCTTGTTTGCTTGATTGCTTGCTGGTATGTCAGTTTTTAACGTTGGGTGGGGGGAGGGATGGCGGCGACACTTAGACGCCATCCTACCACCATTTGCTTAGGCTAGTGTTGTAGGTTTCGGCACAATCATTTGACCAGCATCCAAGATCAAGTAATAGTGATTTCAGGCATCAATGGTACGGTTGAGGATATGAAGCAAGTGGATCACCGCAATCAATTGTAAATGGGATTTGTTTCCCTTAGTTCCCTACTTGCCATATTGATGGAGTCCACTACCACCTTATAAACCTTGTGAAGCCCTATATAATGTCTGCCGTTATCTGGGTGTTTAGCCAAGTGGGGCAGAGGGTTTTAAACTACTATCATCAATCCATCTAACAAAGGGATGCACTCCTCAGGTAACTTACAGGACCACTTCCTAACCACTGACTTTCTCGGCCAAACGCCGGGACCTCTGGCGAGCTGAGGTGGGCTGACCCTAGTCTTGGATTCCAACGTACGTAAAACTGAGAAGAGGGAGGAACAGGTGTCGTCAAGCACGTCACCATCTTCTAGATGGGGTCTGGAGGCGGCTTACCACCAAAATAGGTTTGCAAGGCAGTATGCACCTGTTTCTTTTTGAGCGAGTATACGAGAGGTATACAAGTAGAGGATCAGATGCCGAGGCTATGACTACTTCATGGACCTCTGTAGCGGGGACTGCAACTGGGGCGAGGATCTTTGGGTGGATCAGTGCCTCAAACGCCGCGGCAACGTGGGAGGCCCAGCGGTCAGCTGCCGGATGGAGATGGAAAGTGAAAGCTGCTGGTGGTCATTGTGGTTGTGGTTGCCAAGGTGGTCGGGCGAGGGGGAGCCTAAATAAGCCCTTGTCAAGCCCTTCATGAGGACTTATTTAAGGCTTATTTGGGCTCCCTCTCCCCTCCCTTTTCCAGCAGAGTTGGTTGTGGTGGTGGTGGTGGTGGTGGTGGTGGTGGTGGTGGTGCTGGTGGTCTGTTGCTAGTGTTGGTCTCCACAGCGACGACGGCAGCTGTCGTGATCAAATGCCTTTGGAGATTGTGCATACGCATGGAGAAGCGGCAGGAACTCACCCATATTTTTCTCGAAATGGTGTACCCCGGGTAGTTGGTATTTGGAGGGAAACCAAGAGGACGCCAATCATGTATTGGGACCAAGGACACCCTCTGAAGAATCCAAGCTCACATACAAGTGCAACCCCTGCTCCTGCAACAGTCAAAGAAAAGGAGGGGAAATGGTTGGAGCTGAGGCGCTGACTCTACCGTGCTTCATATACTAGGTGTTTTGGCTTATGATGTCAAGCTTTCGCTCGAATGCTAAGATCCTACAAAACTCACTGCCTGAGTTGCTGGACTTTGTACTTTTGGGGAAGACCATTTTGATTTTAGTGGTCATCAAACAGTTTGGGCCATCCACTCAGGAAGTGGGACAAAGGGACGTTTTTTTTCTTGTACGGGGTTGTGGTTTGAGGCCACCATCGACCGGGTGAACAACTACCAATTGCTGGAGGAGGAGCACTGCGATCCCAAGGAGAGAGTCGGAGACATGCCAAACTTTTGGGCTTGCGACTGGCCAAATCCGCGATCGATTCGATCGACTAGCACCTGGGATCGGTGGTTGAGAATGTTGATCGGGTTTTATCCATCCCGCCTGGCGCGTCTTGTGGATTTCCATCAATGGTCTTGGACCCTTTAGGGATGTTAGATAATGAGGGTTCCGATGGAACCACGGCCGCTTGGAGGGTTCAAAAACACATGGCACACCTGAACTTCGGATTGCTCCGCCGTGCCTTTTCAGGGGTACCCCTGGTGGTTGGACATGGTTCAACCAAGCCCATGGTTGGAGATACCGAACAAGTCGGGTTTTGGACACGCATATCTATGAACCTCGTATCTGGTTTGAACAACAACATACACACCCCGGCAAGAAACAATCAACAAGTGGTTCAACAACCCCCTCCCCCCAAGAAACAATCAACAAACAAAGCATGCGAAAGAGAAAAAAGCGCAAGCTCCTTGCCAGGTTGGATATCACGCTTTCAAGTCTTTGCCGTGGGTAGGGAAAAGATGTGGACCCCTGGATCCACTGGAACAGCCTAACAAAATGACAAAATGGTTGGTGGACATGAATCCCCTCCTAAATGATGTCCACCACAGGATCCCTAACTCAATTCACACCCATTTTCCTCTTGGTGTTTGAAGGGTGCTTCCCTTGGTTGCCTACAACATGCGGATGGAATCACAGGGGAAGGGGGCCATTTGTCCTTGTTTCACGGCTCCTTGTTTCACCATCGCCGAGGTTTGCACTGCCTCGTCATGCTATGTCTGATAGAAGCTATCAGTAGCCGAGCCACGTGGCGGATGTTTTTTTTGTTTTTCACGGTCTAGGTCCCCCAGCTAGGTGCCAACTTTCAGCGTTTCTTTTTTGGAGGAGGGTTCCCCTAAAATAGACTACAGAAAAAGGGTACCCTTTTTTCTAAGCTCTCTACTGGAGGACCTAGCAGTAGGTGTGTTAGTACATTATGTGTTGCGCCGTGCAGCACGACTGATTCTTCTGCAAGTAAATCAACCAGAAGCCATGAATAACCATATATATATAAGGTGTTGCTTCCTAGAATGAACCTAAGGATTCCCTTAAAGGAATCCAACTCATTCCCTAGCTCTCGATCACTCCATCGCAAGATGAACTGCACTCCCTGTATTCATTCTTCTTGTAGGTAACCCCAAAGGGGCTCCCATCCCAAGAAAGCTGCAGTACCAATTACCATTGCCAGACCCGCGAAATCAGCAAGTGGAGCAAACCAAAGCCTTCCATTTGCTTAAGAATACTTTTTATTTTCCCCTGTTGGTTTTAAAGGGATTTATGACTACTGGACTTTTTTTTTCCTAGGGGTCTTAACCAAATCGGCGCAGAGGCCGTGGAATCGATACCCCCTCCCTCGGCGCAGGAGGGCTGGGAGGACTGCTCGGACCCGGAGAAGGTGGCCTTCCATCCCTTCAAGTCTCAGGAAGGGCTCGCCATTGTTTTTCTCCTGCTCTGTTTTTGGGTGGGCGGTTTTTTGTTTCTGTTGTGTGTTCTTAAAACGTATTTTGGTTTACATATAGGTACATATTTTTGGGTGGGCTGTTTGTTTTTTGGGTTGTGTGTTCTGAAGTATTTTGGTTTGCATACATGTATATATATATATATATATATATATATGGTACCCCCCCCCCCCATGGACCCTGGTTTGGTGAGCTTGAGCTGTGTCTGTAAATATATACATAGATACAACTATCATATGTATATATAGATGTCATAGGGGTGCGTCTTTTCAGGCTGGGTTTAACATGCCACCCTCAGACTCTCGGAATGCATATCACCCAATCCCCCGGGACCCACCAAAAAGAAATCCTCAATGAGTTTCAGGTCCTGGGACCGTCGCAAGAAGTTGGAAAGCCCAGCAGTTCAGAGTCGATTCTCAAGAAAAGGTACCGGGTAGCCTCCCTCCCGAAGTGGACAGAGTCTCCCAAAAGGATCGAGAATCGTCTTCCAAAACTGATCGAGGGTAGAACGAGCGTTTCACATTATGAAGGTTCCATACTACTTGAGGAGGTCTCACGTTTCTGGTTTGGGGATGATAGCAATTTGCCCGGAGCCAAAACCCTGAACATTCTAGGAATTCTGGGAATTCTGGGAATTCTGGGAATTCTGGGAAGGAGGGTTCTCAACCAGACCTCATACCCTCCCTCCCCAACGAATCTGTCCGTGAGTTCTATGTAGATACTTTGGCCTTTCAACCAGTTGACACACCCATTGACCCACTGATCCCAGGAGTTCCACGCAAGGGATTTGTTAGCTAACATATTGGCAGGCCTTGCTCGTTCTCTGGGCCCATGTAGGTGAACATTTCCCACACTCACTTGCTCGAAGCAAATTCACCTTGTTCAACCTTTTGGCTTGGGAGTGTTGTTATGTGGTCAATGTTCAGTGAACCCGAAACTCCTTTCCAAGTGCTTCCAGTTCCCACTACAGTAGGTAACGAGGGAAGCCGTCACGTTAAAAAAACAAGGCAGGAGATGCGCTTGCTATCTACTGTAGTTGCTTGCCTGCAAACACTGGGATTGAAAAACGCGCGCCCTGAAACCAAGTGAGGCAGGGGTGGGCCTGTCTTTTGTTTGGGAAGCCACTTGGTTGATATACTCCCTCGAAACATCAAACTAGGAGGAAACTCAGCTGCAAGCGGTCCGAAGGTGATGTTTCAACTGGCGCAACAGGGAAATAGAGGTATGTTGCGCCATCCGGGTCTGTCTCAAAATGCTTCAACCCCCCCAAGCAGCAAAACAAATGGGCGCGTTCTCTTTGGCTCCGATACTGAGCCATGTGTTTCTATTTATAAGATAGAGACCTTTTTCTCACGTCCTGAGTTCATCTAACTTTTCGGGAACACCATCTTAGTGGGTAAATAGTACAAGCGTTTGGGGCCTTTTTTGGGCCTATCAACTCAGGAAGATGAGTGTTTGACGCTTCTTCTGCTTAGCGCGTCACTGGGCGCGCTTGGCCGCGTTTTTTGGTGGATCGATCGGAGTCGGCGGCAGGAGACTTGGCAAACCTGCATGGACAACGCCCTGGCGTGAATCGAGGGCTCGCTAGGACCGCCAGTCAGGGCCTTTTTGACAGCTGGAGCCCCTTAAGATGATGGAGTTTGGGTTCTCAATCCCTAAGATGACGTCCTTTGGGTTGCTGGAAAACGGGTGTGGCTCAAAAAAAAAGACAGGAAGGGGTACGCAGGTGTTGGTCCATGTGTCCACTTCCGGTTCCATTTTGGTACCGATTCTGTTGAGCCACAGCCAAGTGGAATTGGTTCGTTTCCTAAATTCGCGGCGCTCTTTTAAAGGGCTTTCCCTAAGACCAACTTGCTATGTTTGTTTTAAGGAACCCAGAGGCCATATGTCCCTTCTGCGCAGAGGTTTCCTCTAGGTGAAGGTACCCCTAGCCTAGCCTATGCTAGGTGAACCATTTGTCAATCTCGTGGAACACATGCAGGAAGCGATAAAACCCCTTCGCTGGTGTCATGTGGATACCTTGTTCTGGGGCGGTTGTCCAATCCGTTGTTTTTGGATTGGCACGGTTTGATGTTCCTAAAAAAAAAAAAAAAAACATGCGCAGGTGCACCAGTCAGAAATCATGCTCAAAAACAACGGGTTCTCCTTGTCATTTGACATGTGTAGATTCACTAAACATGCCATTTCTAGTTGGAGCAACAGCTTGACCCTGAGGATCTATGCTAATTACCGACTGGCCCCTCAATGTCCTGATTGACACTCAGCCGGCTTGTACAAACGGATCCTGGGTGAGGTCGGGAAGCTACCAGCCTGCCATGTTTTTGGGGCAACCCCCAAGAATCAAGGGAAAGGCCGCGAAATTAGAGGTTCAACCAGGTTGGAGGTAGGAATGCAGGGGGCTTCAATGTCAATTTCTCCAGCGCACCTTCTAAGGAGGTGCCGGGCAATAGATTGCCTACGTCGCACACTGCGACACGAGTCAACGTCATGGTTTGCATGGCCGGGGGCCTGAACCACCTACGTACTGACACCCCGCTTCCATTTGCAGAAATGTTTCAACCAAAAATCATGTATTTTCCCCTGTTGGTTTAGGAGGCTTAAGCAAATGGACACCCGTTTTTGCTTGGTCCTTTTACTTCGAAGTCTGCGGTTCAGCTGGTACACAGGCCAAGCCGTCGACGTTTCACCTCAGAGTTGTGGCAGCGCGATGGGATGCTGCCATCCTGACACATGGGCTTGTGCGTTTCAAGGTTTGAAGGAAGTTTTGATATGGCTGATGAAAGCTAGGGGCCCCTCAAATTGATAGGGATGCTTACGTGTTTCTTCAAGGTTTGAAGGAAAGCGTAGGGCCCCCTCAAACTGATATAGGGGTTCGTCTTTTTGGGGGGACCTCACAACAGGGTGGTTTTCCTTCTTGGTGTTCCGTGTCAAACCACCGGGAAACAGTTTATCCAGCTCGAGGGTACGTGGAGGGAAGGTGGTCGTTTTTGAACGCGTGTTTTGGCTCGTTTTTGAACGCGTGTTTTGGCTCGTTTTTGAACGCGGTTTTCCTCAAGTGTATGTGATTTACAGCAGCACGGCCATTTTTCCAAGTGTCCATGCACACCACGATGAGGCGCACGAACACGCACCACGATGCACGTGTAGCACATGGATGGCGCCGTGCTTTTGGGAGACAATCGTCAACTGTAGACCCGGGAACGCAAAGCACAAGGAACGCAAAGCGACATCACCATCGTCATCATCATCATCATTATCATCAACATCGACATCGTCAACATCATCATCATCATCATCACCATCATCATCATCACCATCATCACCATCATCACCATCAACATCGTCATCATCACTACCAGCAACATCACCTTCATCCACATCAACACCAACATCATCATCGCCATCATCAACATCACCACCAACATCCATATCATCATCATCATCAACAACACCATCAACATGACCATCATCACCATCATTATCACCATCATCATCATCATCAACAACATCAACATCCTCAACATCGTCAACATCGTCAACATCAACATCATCACCATCATCATCATTAACAACATCATCACCATTATCAACATCAACGTCGACATCACCATCATCATCAACAACAACATCAGCATCATCAACATCGTCATAATCATCATCATCATCATCATCATCATCATCATCATGACCATCATCAACACCGTCATCATCACTACCAACAACACCACCATCACCACCAGCGCGCAGTCGCACGGTCACGCTGTAAGAGGCGAACGTAACTGCCCCACCCCATCCCCCCCCCAGCCGCAGGACGCAGTCGCACGGTCAGGCAGCAAGAAGCAAACGCAACTGCCCCACCCCACCCCCCACCCAGCCCCAATACGCAGTTGCGCCGCCACGCAGTAAGCGGCGATCGCAATTCCAGGAGGCTCCGATTCGCAAGTTACTTAGGCCGTATGAGCTAAGGAGGTTTTTGTGTCGCGAGGACAAGATAACTCAGAGCTTGAAATTTCACGAGTTTTCACGGCTTTTTCACGGAGTAGTAACGGCCTTTCAGTTTCCCGCGCGAGTTATTACGGCCGTTAGGCCGAGTTTTCACGGCTTTACGGGGGCCAACGACCGAGGACATCTGAGCTCAAAAAGCCAAGGTACTTGGGACTCGGGGCCCCTTTTTCCCAGTCCCAGGGCGCAGTTGCACGGGCACGCAGTAAGAGGCGAACGTAACTGCCCCGCCCCACCCCCCCAGCCCCAATACGCAGTTCCACCGTCACGCAGTCAGCAGCGATCGCAATTACCCCCTTCCCCCAGCCCCAGGATGCAGTCGCACGGTCACGCAGTAAGAGGCGAACGGAACTGCCCCACCCCACCCCCACCCCCACCCCCAGGACGCAGTGGCACGGTCACGCAGTAAGAGGAAAACGTAACTGCCCCACCTGCCGCAGGATAGCCCCCCATGTGTTCGAAAATGACCCACTCTGTGTTCGAAAATGATCCAGGACATCGGTGTTCGAAAATGATCCAAAATCGGTGTTCGAAAATGATCCCCCTCCCTTCGTGGAGAAGAAGGCGCGACGGTATACGCAATTGATGCAAGCCTTTCGTGTGCCCTGAATTGGGATCTAAGATGATCTAAGGTTCCTGATTCCTCCACTTACCTTGTTGGAACCTCCACAAGCGTTCGGTTCTAAAGCGAAAACCACCATTACACACCTTTTGGTTTGGGGCAGTCCAGTGACCCGGAATGTCCAGAATCAACTCATGCTTCTAAAAACATCTGGAAAGCTGAGGTATAGACGGAGTTTTTTTTTGATTTTCTGTGGACTGTGCGACCCCCCAATGGCTGTTTGGCAAAAGTGCGCTGAACGAGCTATTTGAGATCTTTGAGCACATTCTTAGCGAGCTGAATGATCGGGGGGGCTGGGGTAAAACAAGAGCTCGGAATGATGCCGAGTCAGGTTCGGCATCCCCCCCCCTCAACGGCGAACCAGGTATTTTTGCCCCAAAGGTTTTACATCACGGTTGCCCTTGGTTACCTTGAACGGTGAGGCACTGGAGAAGGATCCAAGCCTCTTTAAGCATTTCGGGGCTCATAGAAAGGGCTCCTGCCAGGAGTTTGGAGGGCACCCGTGGGCTTGGCATGAAAGGAAAGCGGGCCGAGAGCCGTGGGACTTTACACGAGGTTGTCCATGACACAAGCCCTGGGTGATGTCGTGACTGCGCAGCCATCTTTTTCTTTTTCTAGCGTCCGGCAATGGGTCCGAGCACTAGCTGCTTGACAGCCAGGCAGCAAGGAACAGGATTGCCCTCAGATCAGGATCCCCTGATGGTTTGGGTGAACCCATCACAGCTTCTTGTGAGACACATCCAATGGGCTGTTATTTTTGGGCTGCCTCTGGAACATACTCCCAATGATCCATGCAGGCTCTATTTTGGTACCGTATTGCCATTAAATGTTTCTTTTTTGAAACACGGATAGGTTGTACTTGAATCCATAGGGTTAGTGCAACCTTTGCACCAAGCAACGCGACACTTTCTTCTGCGCGAGCTTCTGCGAGCAATCCTGGCACCAGCAAAGTCTGGGGAAAAAAAGCTTTCGGTGTTTGCTTTTTGACAGAACGGGCAGAAGGGTAAGGTCCGAGAGGTCAGATTCCTCAACTGTTTCACCCTGTCAGAAGGCAAGCTCTCGGTAGATGCGAACCGCACATCCAACGAGCACGCCCCCCTGACCCAAAGGCCTCCGATCAAAGTGTGCAGCCGCACGGAAGCGCCTTTATGCTTGGCCCGGCAAGCTCCACCGGAAGCCTGTAAACCGATGTGCGCTTTTTGAACCTAGAGTCCAATCCACTGAGTCCATTGCCCTGTGGCAACTAAACAACAACCCCTAAAAGGAGCAGCCTCGGAACCTAGAGGGTTTGGTACAGGAACTGGGCCCAAAAGGGGTCATCTTACACATCCGACAAAACATGCTAATTGGTTGTTCGGTCTAATTGAATTGTGATTGAACCAAGTCTATGAGGCCCTGAAAAGGGATATCCTCATGTGCTCCGAAGGCCAAGAGCTCTCCAGTCCCGGGAATCCGGGAATCGCTCGGCGACCTTTGCCACTTTCCTTTTTGGTAGGGGAACCCCTTGGCTTCCCCTCAGAGTTATGGTAAATAGACAATTGCCTCAGGGTATGTGTCAAACTAGGGAGAGAAAGGTTGTCTTGGTTTTGAAGCCAAGCTGAAAAGATTGCCCAAAATAAAAGCACAGACGCCTTGAACACTGTCTTGCGGAGCAGCCTGAACATGCACGGCACTTTGGGGATCAGGCTGGGGCTTGCGATGGCCCATCGGACACAATACCTGAACAACTTTCGGGTTCGGGGAGGCCCCAGATCTCATGCGTACCCCAAGATTTGATTTGTGGCAGGTGTACCAGGATCGGGTTACGAACAACCCCGAACAACCCCCCCCCCCAAAAAAAAAAGAAAAGAAAGCAATCAGCACCAAGAATCTCCACGCAGCAAATCGTAGAGATGTTCCTTGCAGCCCCTTGGTGGGGCTCAATGTTCAGCTCGTTTTGCTGTTGGCCCGCGGGCGCCTTCGTCATTTGGCGGCTTTGGCGGCCAATTCGAATTGGCGGGAAAAGGGGGCGGAGCCCGCGTGGGAGTCGGGATCCGATTGGTTGATTTCCGATCATGCGTGATCCTAGAACCCACAAAAAAGCATGAACACGCGAATGAGTTGGCAAAAAGACGTTGGCACAGCAACTCGACCGAAACGACCCCGTGCGAAGCAACTACTAGCAGTTAACTATTAATTTTTTTCGCAATTTTCAGGATTTGACGTGATGTCTTTTCAAATTGCATTTCTTATTTGTTTAACTTCTTCATATCCTTTCTCGACCTTCTCTTTATTTACATGCCTTTCTCAGGGTTTCTTGTCTTCAAAAGCAAATTCATGTATTTCTGGGAGCTAATACCTTTACCTTACCTTTTATATTCCTTACCTTCATATTCCCATCCATTTCTTAGTAAGGAACCCAGTCGGGGACACCCAAACAAGCGCCCACGCAAGTAGAAAGGGTTTGTATTACCTCATGGTCGCATCACTTTTGGTGGATTTGCGCGTTACTTTGGAGATGAAACACACATCATTGACGATGTTTCTCAAATGGGACTCCCTTTTTGGATGCTTGTAAAGGGAGACCAAAAGAGGGGTTGTCAATATCAAGAACCCTTTTCGGTATTCCCTTGAAAAAGACGGCTTCGGAAGGATACGCTGAGGGGATACCCATTGACACCAAAACGAAACCGACCTGCCTGGATCGAAAAAAGTTACTGCTT